GTACGTCGCCACTCGCATCAGAAGAAGTATAAATATAGTATAACCAATATAAATATACCGACTGACGGTTTGCCGTAGTCAATATTATCGTCAACGGCGAGCGCAACAACCGCTACCGGACTAGCGCCGGATGCTCGGGAGTGGGCTCAATTTCACGATTTTGTGCGTGTGAAACAGATAACGTCCACCGGTTCGTTACGTCATTCTGTAAATTTGTAATCCCCAACGTCCATTATCATCGTGCGAGAATCTACGACAACTTACTGTCGGTGCCAATGTAGGTTCCGCGGGTTTTTCATCGTTGAAGAATGAAGAATCTGGTAAAGTCGGGCAACAACAACCGCAGGACGTAGTGGGATTTTTCGGATATAGAACAACCAGAACCACATATTCTGATACATTCGGCCGTTAATATGATTGAGGCGGGAGAAGGTTTAACCGACGGACAAGACATTGACTGCTCAAGATTAGGAATCGAGACGAAAAAATATCAAAGAGTCGTCCACAGAATGCTTGTCCGGTATCATGGAAGTAGATTACCAACTTCTGATGTTATTGAAAAATTATCGTCAGCACAGACTAAACCTAGCTGTACGCAATGTGAAAGTAATGCATCATTGTTATTAGAAAACGGGATAATGAAAGAGCCAATGGCCCTTCTCAGCTCGGAATCAAAATCGGTCAACGACATTTCTTGGTGTATTGTTCGACCACTAAAGTATCTTGAGGTAATGCGTAGTTCTCATTTTAAAATCGATATTTGGAAAAATTGGAATCCCGATGAAATAATAAATGATGATGTAATAAGGACGCTGAAAAGTTCTAATTGCGAAAATAGTAAGTGGATTCCGACTGATGATATTGTACGAATTTCAAGAGAGGTTGTAGATAAGTTACCGTTTAATGAGTTGGAACTCGTTCTTCTGGGTGAACAATCGATGGAAATTGAAAATAGTGATTCTAAAAATGATTGTATTGAGCAAATTCGTTTATCAAAACACGGTCGTTCTAGTAAAAATAATCAACAGTGGCGAGAATGGGTTCGACAACAAAAAATGCATCGACAAAAAAGACGAAAAGAAAGACGAAACCATTTTAAAAAAGCACAGAAACAAGATTTTGTCGGAGAAGAGCAATCGAAAACACAACTGCAACCACCAGATATTCAAAAATTATTTATACAGTTACTACAGCATTTAACCGGTCAAAACACATCGAAACCGCCAGCGGCGGATTCACTGAACTTTGAAAAAATAGTAGAACAGCTCCAACCATCAGAATCTATGGACATTAATGAAATTCAATTTCACATCATAATCCGCCCTTATGATGGAAAAGATAAAAATGAGTCTCCACCAAGCAATAACGGCAATAAACAACCATTACTCTCGGATGGTGATATCGATACTAAACTTCGCATTTTTGTCAACTCTAGGGATAAAAACTGTGAAAATGAGTTTCAATTAAGCAATTACTACGAGATAGTATGGCAACCATATAATTACGATGATACATTTTATGAAGCCAATCAAACCGATGATGGAATGGACCCGGATTATAATATAGAGCGAAATCACTTGAGAATCCGGGTTAATAAATTGGTAGATGAATTTTGGCAAATGCCCAAGGCGCTGCGGATTTATCATAGAAAACAATTTTGGCAACAGGAGAGGCGAAATCGATTACAGCGGCGGCAACAGTTACGGCAGCGTATACGGGATAGTAAATTACAACCTTCTAATGAAGAATCAGATGAACTTATCAAGGAGCGAATGACTTCATTAGACAATGAGTGTGGAACATCACAAAGTAATAATGACGGTGGTAATAGTGACCATTTTGATCAAAACACCTGTGGAAAAGTACCCAATTTAACTGTTGCAATGAACGTCGATGATATAGCTGAAGAATCTAATAATACAGAGTCTATGATTGCCAATACATCAGCGATTATAGCCCCCACGACTACGTTTTCGGGAGGAGTATCAATGAATGGGTCAATACCAAGCATTGAAATAATGGCATCTGAATTTATGAATGAAACAATATCTCATATTGTTAAGACCATTTCAAAGGATACGGAACGCTGTGGTAGTCCAGTTGCAGTTGTTGAACCATTAAGACCCTTTGGTGATGTGGTTGGTTCAACAGAAAACAATTCAAACAGGTCACGTGAAGATTATGGACAAGCGGTCGTTTCGCGATCGGTTACAACGATGGTTAAAGCGTTGTCATTGGTCCACATTGAATTATTTAATGGAGTCAAGAGGATGTTAAGTGCAGTGCGAAAAACCATGCATCCACCAGGACATATACCTGCACCAGTCGACCAAGTGACAGCAACAGGTTCTTCAAATGCATCAAATTCAGATGCACCAGCTTCAGATGTATCAATTTCAGATGTACCAATTTCAGTGCCTTCGGCATCAGTCGATCCAGACATAATAGAAAAGCAAAAAGAGATGTTACGTGAACTACAAAGATTATTGGACTCGATTTGGAGTATGATGTTAAACTCTAACACTAACGATGCAAAATTAACCGCCACATCCATGTCAGACTATATTGAGGAAACGGCGAATAGGACGGAAGAAACCGCGAACAATATAAATGAAGCAGATGATCCCCCTGTCGTTGTACCGCCAATCACTATCACCACTATGATGAAAGCTTATTTAGAAATGGTACAAACTCTTGAAAGAATTAGTAATAACGTCCAAGATGTAACACGAATGTTAAGCGAGGAAACGAACTGGCTGGTAGACGCCTATAAATGGGCTGGTGAGGTAGCTAAAATGGGCGATAGGGTTCTTGAACTTTTAGAAGATGTTCAAGCGAATAAAGAAGTGAGAAATAACGAAGAACTTCCAACGCAACCATCACCTTCGTTGTCTCGGCGGCAGCAAGAACAGCAAGAGCGGTATCAAATGCATCAATTTCGATTACATCAGCACAGAGAACAAGAGCGAGTCCTAGCATCACAACAGTACAGAGAACAAGAGCGAATCCTAACATCACAACAATTACCTCCACCAAAAATCGTTCATATCACTATATCTAACACTGCCTTTCAAGAAAACGAAGGAAGTCAAAGGATTTCACGACGCCGTCGCTTAAACATGTTAGCTAATGGTCGCCGCGGAAATGTTTCAACGCACTCATTCAATAAGACCGATCGAGCAGGCTTCACTGATTTGCCCGACGGGTGTATGTTTTCATGTACTCCAATGGACGATCTAATAGATTGGCAACCACCACCAACTGTGCCAATATCTTCCAGACGACCTACACAGAGATCTATTGCTAGAAGTACTTCTACAACAGGATCAACTACTGCTAGACCATCTACCGCAAGTACTTCTACTGAGATAGCATTTACTGCTGGACCTTCTACCAAAGAAACATCTATAGACAGACCTTTGGAAGAAATTTCTACTGAGATTGTATCTACTGCTAGACCTTCTACTGAAGAAATATTCACAGACAGACCTTCGGAAGAAACTTCTACTAAGACTACATCTACTGAGACTTTAGTCAAAATGATACATTCCAACACGTCAAGTGGGAACGTTTCTAATCCCACCACGTCAACTCCTTCTACAGTTCACACTTCCCCTGTACCGATTTCTAGTGAGGCAATTTCCATCGTTGAATCTTCACTTATTACAAATTCAACTATTTCAACTACTGCTGTTCAAAATTCTATCGCACCAATCTCCATTACTCTAGAAACTTCCACAGCATCATTTGTTGAGGTAAAGGATTCCAGTGAAATACCTCCCTCTATCGAATCAACTATTTCTGTGCTTACATCTAATTCACCGACATTAACTTCCCCTTTGCTTATTTCTGAAACATTAGCATTTGTTACGAAAACGTCTACTTCACAAACTTCAGCTATCAATGGATCCAAAGAACAAAAATTACTCAACCATGCAGTGATACCAAACTCCATTGACATGCAGTTATTCAATGGTCTGCAGGCGATTGGCGTACTGATCAGCAATTTATTTTTGTCGCAACAGCCTTCACTGCAGTTTGTCGAAACCTTGATCCAAAATTCCATAACTCGAATGGCGGTAATAGTTACGGCCCTAACAGATCAGTCAATTTGCAGAAAACAAGTATCATCTGACCGAAGGTTGCTACGACGAGGCTTAAATGGACCGTTAAGACAGCATTTGTTCGACAACGATGACGATGGCGACGAGAATACCGCATACTGCGAAGAAAACACATTTCCTATGGAAACAGAAACACCGACAATCATCGATACACCCGCATCCAACGATGATCTGACGTGCAAACAGCTGCCATTGTCCCCGGAGACCGGGACTGGGATAACGTTGCACATGACTACCAATGAATTAGAGTAGTAGTATATGAAAAATAAATAAAATATAGTTATTAAGTATTCAAGAGAATGGTACGAATTGTATTCGTATTTAACTGGAACTAGGGGTTCATTACCTTCAGGGTAGGAATACGAATTGAAACTCCTTTAAAGCGAAAAGATCAAAGATGTTATAATAGTTAAATGTTATGTGAAAATAGTACTGTATAGTGTAGTGTATAAGTGTATAGTAAATCAGTGCCCCCCAGGGGGGTGCTAAGTTATTAGCGCTACGGGTTTGGCGAACCCGGGGCCCCGAGCTCTGAGCCAGCCTGACCGGTTGGCTCAGTTCGGTCCTCCAGGTAGGGGGTTTGGCGACGGGCTGACAACCCGTCACTGTAAAAACACCATCACTGTTACGAACCCGAAGCCTCGGGACGAAGCTTCGGATAAAACGGATACCTTGAAAACAGTAGACGTAAGAACACCCGTGCACCACGTGTTACGTTTGTTTTATTCTCGTCCCACAACCATCCCCGCCAGGGGGTTTGTTGGTTATACATGGTCATTTGTATAAATGTACTAAGATAAGTGTAAGAACTCCGTACCGCGAATGTACCTGTACGCGTGCACGTGAGTGAACATCTGTGTGTGTATTTCATTGAAGTGGTGACGGGCGCAACGGACGGATTGGGCAAGGCATACGCGAGGCAGCTGGCAGGCCGTGGAATGGACGTGGTGCTGATCAGCCGGACCCAGTCCAAGCTAGATGCGACCGCGGACGAGATCCGCGCAGAGTACCCGGGCCGTGAGGTGCGGTGCGTGCGCGCCGACTTCTCGGACGAAGACACGGGCTTGGTGTACGGGCACGTGGGCCGCGAGCTGCACGGGCTCGAGGTGGGCGTGCTCGTCAACAACGTGGGCCTGTCGTACCCGTACCCGGAGTACTTCCTGAAGGCGGCCGAAGACCAGTGCGACAACGGCAACAAGGCCACCGCCGGATTGGGACCGAAACTATTCGACGATATGGTCCGGTGCAACATCACGTCCATGATACACATGTGCCGGCTGGTGATGCCCGGCATGGCCGATCGTCGGAAGGGCTGCGTCATCAACATTGGCAGCTCAACTTCCGAGATCCCGTGTCCCCTGTTGACCGTATACGGCGCCACAAAGGTAAACGACATCAGTGATAATAGTAGTATTAATAGTAATAGTAGTAGTAGCAATGCCGGATTAAACATTTGTGGGCCCTACAAAATTATTTTTTGTATACACCTTTAACATTACTATCAAATAATTAAAATAAACGGCTTTAATAATAATCAAATATTATTAATAAATAAAATCGTATATATTAATTTTTTTTGTTTGCGAGAAAAATTAATTAATTATTATTTTATTTCTATTTTTTTCGAAATAATTTTATTATTATAACTACATACAACACCCACAATTTAATTTATATTATATTTCATAATGAATTTTGTCCCGTAAATTCGTAAATAAAATACAGGTACCTATTATTAAATAAAAAATAATATAGTTTTCCGTTTTCACAGGGCCCCTTAAATGAGTGAGGCTCTAAGGCGGGCGCCTATACCATCTAATGGGTAATCCAGCACTGAGTAATAGTGTAGTAGTAGTAGCAGTAGTAATATTGTTAAGATTTCCTACGTTTTGGTCGCCCGTTTCCTTGAGCCATGTCGTGAAACGGAACGGGATACGGCATTGTTGTTGATAAAATGTGACTAAATATTTACCCTGACAAGAAATATATGCGTCCAAACCGGATCTGTGAACCGTTGGTCTTAGTCGAAATGTGGTTTGAGGACGTCGCTGCTGGTCGCGTAATTTTAAAACCAAATAAAAATAAATAATATCTCGAGTTCGTCCAAGTCTTTTAACGAGGAAACAACATAGTGTTAATTATTCAATGATTGATCTTCAATGTGACAACATATCTAAAATACATAGTTTTTTTACAGACATTTTAATTTCAAATTTGAACGACATTCGATATTTTAATAATTTCAAAATTTTATTCAAAGACACTTGATACTTTTAAAATATAGACATTGTGTTACATTGTATAATACATAAGTATTATACACATAATAAAATTTTCAAATACAATGTTTTCTTTAAAATATAATCTTATCTATAGGTATTACTTTAGTGAAATAAATTATTTAAGTAGCAAATAAATATATCGTATAATATTTTCTGACCGACCATAATACGACTTTAATACGATTACAAAAGGAGTAAATTTTTTTCTATACAAAATAATATTGTATGGACAAACAATGGTCGATGATAATGTTGGTCAACATTCTATGAGGTTTATCGCTACTCCGCCAATAGTAAAAATTTGTCATCGACAAGGTTTGCGACAATGTCATCGACGTATACGAAATATACGAAAAGAAAACCAGTATTTCATTGCATACTTTAGGTACCCACCAACTAATAATAATCTATGGTAACGTAATATTGAGTTATTTTTTAAAATATTTTCAACTTTTGTGTTGAGGAATAATTTTATGTATTGCTTAACAAAATTAAAAAATCTTAATATATAGGTTAAAGTAAAAAGTATTCACTCCTTGCCATCGATGTATGTGTTACTTTTTGTTTATAGTGCGCAGGTACTTTTTATCAACTCTTATACCTTTTATAACTTAACATGACTTATACTCGTGTTCGGCTTTCTTAAAATGTATGACAAAATTATTTATCAACATCATTAAATATTTTCAACATTTATTTACAGTTAAATTGATTTTAAATTGCAGTCGAGAACCTCACATTTTTTAAATTATTCTTTAGTAATTGTATTCTATAATTTTTTATAAAAAACAAGAAAACTCAACTAATTATATATAAAATCTTCTAAATTTTTGTCGAACATTATTTTTAATACAAATTCAGTCATTATATTTTGATGTAGAAAATATCGAAGTATTAATATAATATTTAAACTCACATTATACAAATAAGCTCTCATAGCGCAACCATTACCTTAAATTTTCAGACTCGACCCCATTTTTCCTACAAATAATTTTAATTTAATAACCCTGCTGTATAATTATTATTATTATTATTATTATTATTATTATTATTATAATTATCGTGCATTCTCGGCGTTCAATTTCCGATCATCGTTAGTGGTATTTTTTTTTTTTTACGCAAAGCGTTATCTTCACCGATTCTAAACAAACTACGATTCCGCACATCGATTTAGTATAAATTCAAGTTGAATGCCATAAGAATCAGAGAACTTTTAAACACATTGCGGGTAACCGGTAATCTATTGTTGTCTATTGTTATGATTATCATCATTATCATTATCATCATCATCATCATTGTCGTCGGTCACCTCGGCATGAAACTAATCGATCGAGCGTTTATTTCATGTTGCACTCGCTCAGAAATTCGTCGAGAAGTTTAGCCGCGAACTGAACACCGAGTACGGCGGCAGCGGCAAGAATGGTTTCAACATCACAGTGCAGTGCGTCATGCCAGGTTACGTGGCTACCAAAATGAGCAAGATCAACCGCACTTCGTGGCTGGTCCCGTCCCCAGATAAGTTCGTCCGGTCCGCGTTGCAAACCACTGGATTGGAGCCGGTCACACAAGGGTACATGCCGCACACCTTGATGGTAAGATTTTCTCATTGTGTACGAAATTATCGCGCTGCGCACTGTACGGCAATGGCGTATTTTTGGATGTTTTTTCGGGGGACATTCCGACAGTAATTTTTTCTCCAAAAACACTATACTGGTTTAATCACAAAGTTATGTGGTAAGCTTCACAATAATTGCCCAAAATATTGTTAAATAACATTTGTTCAAAATAGTAATAATTCATAGTCAACTGCCTGTTGTATAACGTTTCATTAATGAGTATTATACTTTTATAGTTTTTACTTATATTAATAATTCAATGATATAAAAAGCCCTTATAAATGGAAATTTTCTTGTAAAAAAAAAAAAAAAACTTATGACTACTATTTTGTTTTGTTTTGCCGCGATATTGGATAATTGTTGAACGCACATAACCATTGCTTATTTACAAGTTTTCAGACACGATATGACATTGACTTAGGTTTTTTCGGTACGAAAACATTTTGGTTTTTTTTATAGCGTAGGAGATTCAAATTACTTAAACAACAATATTCGGAAACATATACCACAAAAGTAGGAAGAAAAAAAAGAAAGTTGGGAAATATACCGAGACCCTTAAGGCTTGTAAACTAAAGACACACGTAGAACCGAAAAACGGTTGTGCCTTTGCAACACGTCGCGACCCGTAGAGAGCGGTTTCTTGCGACGTGTCGCATCTTGCACACCATATACCTTTGCGTGTCTTTTTCGGCGTACGTTACATAACGGGCAACGTACACGTTTTCGCAGGTCAAAGCGATCGCACTGGCCGAGAGCATATCCAAGTCGATGATGTCCCGGATGGTGCTGAACAATATGCTGAGCATCCGGGCTAGGGTGCTGCGCACGCAAGCCAAGAAACAGAAGGAGGCGTTCGCTTTGACACAGGACCCAATCGAATCAGCCGTCGACAATTGAATCGGGCGCTACCGGTATCCGTGATTGTGGTATTAGATTTTAAGTTTACCGGAAACCGTATGGAATCCTATTTACCGACGGTTTCCCGGTTATTTTAGGAGAGCGCGCTCTCGATAAGTGTGTAATCATAGTTATAAATAACACTATGTGTACGTTTACGGTATTAGTTTTAAGTTTGGCGTTGAAGTCCAGTGTTAAGATGGATCACCCAAAATTTTCGAGGGTGCAGACATGTCCGCGACAACGCGGCTAGTGCACTCTCGTTAAACATATATAGTTTTAATTTAGATATTATTGTACGTTTACGGTTATAGTTTTAGTTCAGGATTTAAATCCTATGTACTAACGTGTACACAAAGTCAAAATATATGGGAGTGCAGTGTTCTGCGTCAACGCTAGAAATGCACTCTCGATAAGTATATAAATATAGTTTTAATTTATATATTAATGTACATTTATGGTTGTAGTTTTAGTTAAGCGTTTAAAGGACAGAGAAATTCTTACAATTATTTATTAGAGTGCAGACTTCCGCGACAATGCAGCAAGTGCACTCTCAATAAATAAGAAATTATAGTTTTAATTTAAATATTACTGTACGTTTACGGTTGTAGTTTTATTTTAGCGTTTAAATTGCAAAATCATAACTAATATTTACAATTATTTATTAGAGTGCAGACTTCTGCGACCACGCGGCAAGGGCATCCTCAATAAATATTTGTAAACATAGTTTTAATTTAGCATTTAAATCCTATGTACTAATGTGAATGCAGATTATATATGGGAGTGCAGTGTTCTGCGACAACGCTAGAAGTGCACTCTCGATAAGTATGTAAATATAGTTTTAATTTATATATTAATATATATTTATGGTTGTAGTTTTAGTTTAGCGTTTAAATCCGATGGGAACTAACTTATGAAAATAATATATATAAATAATAAATATAGTTTAAATATATATATATATATATTATTGTAGATTTGCGGTTGTAGTTTTAAATTTGAATCACAGAGGACCTCATGATAACTACCTAATTATTTATTGGAGTGCAGACTTCCGCGGCAACGCGGCAAGGGCACTTTCAATAAATATATATATAGTTTTAATTTATTTTATATATGAGGTTCGTCCAACTATTGGATTGATTAATAATTTCATATTGTTCTATTACCTGTTCTTCAGAGTAGTTCATGGTGCAGGAAATGTTCGACGTCCTGCGGCCGACGACCGCGCGAGGAGGTTGTTGTCGTTTTACCATATCTTACACCACTCATCGTCGCCGGAAGACGGCTCCGCCCGGACGCGTGTTCATTTCGCATTACATGATAAAGTTTTTAAGCACTTAACTTCAATCCTTCCGTAGCACCACGTATCGTAGTATTCCGACAATTCTTGCACAACGCCGTCTCGGGATTTTATCTCCTTTCGCTAGTTTTTTTTTTCTTCGCCTTTCTTCTCCTCGTCTATTTGTCCTTTTTTTTCGTATTTAAGGTCATGCAGTTGAGGCATTGGACACAGTATTCCTTGAGTGCAGATACCCAACTCGAACTCGTACTATCTCGCCCATCTTTCGTCGACTAGTGCAGTGCGCAGTCGCCGTATTCGTTCTTCCCGCGGTCTTGGTTTTTTTTCGTCTTTCATCAAGTTATTTGCTCCTCCGTTTTTTCTTCTCTAAAACCATCCATCCTCCACACCAGTATCTACAGTTCCGTGCCGTGTCCCATACTTATCACTCTCGAACGTCGCTCTCCATCCCGGCCACCGTGCAGTCGTCGTGCGATAGTAAAATACGTGCGCAGAATCACTGTAGACATCTGTTTCCAAATCTGCACGGTACCCTGGCCGTACCTATTATTCATACCGGCACAGCGTAAGAAATTCGATTTTCGATTCCCGTTATTTGTATTCTAAATAATTCACCAATTTTTCTCGATGATTTCTATAAATTATTATCGATCGACCGTAAATAACCCAAATTCGTAAACATATTCATAATGATATTCCGCGTTCAGTGATAGTTTTACAAACATTCTTTTTTTCTTTTTTTCTTCTAGTTTTAATTTCACGGGAGGGAAACCACCGTTCTCAAATAATTACTAATATTAGATAATATTGGTTTGTAGAATACGATCGAGTATCCATTCCAATGTTGTAAGCATTTTGACCGATGACAATAATTTGGTTTATTTTTTAACACTACAGACGCTGGTCGTCCACGCATTAATCCATGTTGTTGGTCAAAATATGTACAGTTATTTATTAATGGTTAAGTATATCGTTATTTAATTTCACGTAATTATAGTTCACATGTCATAATTAATTATGACTGTTACGGTTAATGCAATGACCCCAAATTATTCAGTAGGGTAGGTAAAGTTTACGGTGACGCTAGTCGTTCACCCACTTAATCTATCCGAATAAGTAAAAAAAAAAAAAAATTTGTTTTAATATTTATAATGCACTTGATAATTATCGCAATTTGTGTTATTTAGTATAAGATGCAAGCGTAAGTTTAATTTAATTTTAATTATTAAGTAAACTGTTCCAGTTAATAGTGGTTGAAGTTCACCAGTTTGCGAGATAGATACGAATGACGAACGTCCTATGTGGTTAGCTTCGTTATTCGTGTAAGGTTTTAGGATTAATTGTTGTACTTCGTACTGACATAGCTCGTAGTTTCATGTAGCTAAGAGTTTAGTAGGTTAGTTAGTTAGTCTACCGATTAAATGTACACAGTTCTTTGTGATCCATTAGTGCTACGAACAATACGATGGAGTTGTATTATTATTGTGTTATCGTAGCAGTAGTACCTCATCATTTTTTAATTAATACTCATTATTTCGATAGTCTAAGTATTTTATTATAATTTAAATCATAAAGTTATACACTAAAAAATAAATTTATTGTTTAATGTAGGATTATCATTAATATTATTATTAACTATAATTAATATTATTATTAGCTATAATTATTATTATTATTGTTATTAATATCGCCTGAAATACTGTTCTCAAAAAAAAAAAGAAAAAAAGGAGCAATGCTTATACCTTATTAAAGACATTATAATTATTATTATTATTATTATTAATATCGCGAAAATACTGTACGCAAAAAAAAAATCATTATTTTATTATTAATTATTAAATAATTGTTTTATTAATTAATTATTAACACGTTCACTACGGGTGACAATAATAAGTGTCACGAGAGTTGTAAAGCTGTGTGCTAAGAATGTTATTACTCTTCGGAGGTGAACGTAGTGAACGTGTTTCTTTAGATTTAATTTAGATTTAGTCTTATTTTTTTGCGGAATTTTTGAGATATTTTCGGACTTTGTTCAAAATGTGTTGTAATATTGTTCATTACATTGTTGTCATAATATATTTTACACTGTTCCGACCGCACTTGGCTTGTGTCATTTATTCATTCAACCACTAGTCCCAATTATATCGTGCTATGTATCGAGCACAGAATTTAGTGTGCACAGAACAATCTGTCTACCCATGCAGATACTTCGCGTGAAATCCAAGAGAAATAAATTCGCCGACGACGCATTTTCACATATTGTTCAAAACACAATGATTCACCAGGAAAAAGGTATATAATATGGTAATAATAACGAATTACATCAGGAATTGGATGTAATCCGTTACAGGTCTAGTGTTATGCAGTTGAAGTCAGCTCAGCTGATATTATCCGATTTAGGTGATGATGGTACAATGAACGCATTAAAAAATGTGTTTTGCAGAACTATAGATTTTCATGCTGGAAGGACTAAGGTCCCAATTTATTATGAGAGAATACATTTGATGACCGTAGAAATAGCCCACAAATCCTTCTTACAATGCTACAATAAGCAAAATAAAAAGGCAAAATATTCCAACTTAAATGGGATTGCTTTCAGGAAGAATAAGAGAAAACTGAAAACGCATATAAGTACACTTTAGATTTAGAATAAATCTATATATTTATAAATTTAGAATAAATAAATTTTAGAAAGCCAAGAAAAAAAAATGTAAATAATAACCAAGTTTAAATTTTCTGTCTCAGTTTTGAGATTTTGAAGTGAATTTTGAAGAGAAACCACTTGATCACTAAGAACTTTCATCTCGTCAAGAATTTTAAGATCATGTTCTCTTTTTAGTCTATTTTCTTCGACCAACTCTAAAATAGTACGTTGCATGTCATCAACTTGTTTTTTATAACGAGTACTTAGCTCTTGTAAATATTCACCACTGAGAGACATATTTTGTTCTAAATCCTATATAACAAAAAATATCAACAATGAATAAACTTAAAGCTTTAATTTTCAACTATTCTCAAAGTAAGTATTACTTTAATACGGTTTGCTAAGCGAATGAATAAAGATTGCTTAGTATTTTGTGATTGGATTGATGGTTGTATAGTTGACTGTATTGTTGCAGAATTACACTTGTTAGTCTCTTGTTCTTCAACCTCAAATTCTTTAAAAAAACTATCAAATGTATCTGATGGATGTTCAACTACTTTTGCTTTATTAGTATAATTTGTTTCCAAAGTATTCTGGATTTTAGACTCCAGTTTTTCATCAATATTACTAGTTATAACTGAAAAATATGTTAACATAGAACACATGATATTATAAAAAGTATATATTATGATACACATATTTAAGAATATACATACATTGTGAGGAACTTTGTAAAGAAACATGTTTTGTTGAATTAGGTTCAAAAAATGATGTGTGTGTTGTATTTTCATTATTTATTATTGCTGATTCTTTTATTCGATATTTCTTTGAAGAATCTGTCTCTTCATCAGTACTAGAATAAGTTTTGGTGGGCAATATCTGAGATACAAAAGGCTCAATGTAACTAGACAAATCTAACGATTTATTATCAATGGGTATGTTGGAATTAGATGTATCATTTCTTTGATGGAGATCCGTAGTACTATCATTAGAAGTTTGTTCATTTACATCTGGAATTGCTGTTTGTAAATTTATTATCAAATCATCACTGATGTAAACTCGTTTTGCTTTATTTAATACAATTTTTTTGTGCACAATAGCTAAAGTATTACATAAAGCTGCCATTCTTACACGAGGAAATATTGATAGGACAAATTTTTTCCTCAAATTGCTATTTAATGAGATCTTCCAACAAGATTTATTTTTAACAGTTGAAAAATTTAACCCATACTCTACGCATATATCACTGTTCATTACTGTATCATGAATATACTTATTTTGATACATCTTAGTTAAAATATCAGCTTCACAACTCATTGTGTCAAACATCCTAGAAAAATAGATAATATCAAGAAAACATGATTATTAAAATTTTAATAAATATTGTAAAATTACTTTTTATAAAAATTATCATTACAATTATGGCAGACCATAATGTATCCTGGAGTAAAACATTTGGATTGTTCTACATGTACTGTTTGATTATGAACAGTATTTGTCAATGTATCATTGAAAAAATGATCAGTCTCTTTTTGTCTTATATCTAATGCATCAGTAGCAATTTTTACAATTGTCATTACTGCAGCATGAGCACTTCCAAATAGTGTATTTTTATTATCCCCTGATTTGTTTTGATTATTTTGAATATTTTCATTCATCACATCATAATAATCTGCATCTTCATTTTCAGCAGTGTTACTTTCCAACCCATTTTCATCAGATCTTTCCAACACCTTAATTGAAATTAAAATTAATGTTTTTACACCTTAAATTTTATTGCTATAACAATGCATGTTAGTGTAAATTACACCTCAATTTCTGACAGTCCATAGGCATGAAATACAGATATTGGACAATAGTGTTCTTTCCCATAGTGTGAATGTATTTCAACTTTGATATATTTGTTAAATTCAATATCATCTGTTGTATTTAAATTAAATGTCTGTAATACTCGTACATCTTCGGCCACCAATTTAGCAATTGGTGTCCACACTCGTGCATTTAATCGAGATGCAACATATACTGAAAACTCTTTTGGTGTCGATGAAAACAGTTCAAAATTAGCTAATTGGATCTTGCAAAAAAAAAAAATAATAGATAAATAAAACAATATTAGTTGTTCACAAATATTTATAAAAAAAATGTTAACATACCTTTTTCACTTGTATTGCTTCACATAATTCCACAACAAACCAAGTAGTGCTTTTACATAAATTTAATAAATATTCATCAGTTGATTTTGTTAACAATAATCGTGGATATTTTGCTTCAGGATTAGTTGAAACTACTTTAGCACCACACACAGGTGATGCATAATTTTTTTTTAATACTTTTTTATCATGCTTCTTTTTAGTTTCATTTGAAGCTAACATAAAAAAAAATAGGAGTAAAAGAATTAACATTAAATTGATTCATCATAAGTATTGATTATACAAATGAATTATAATTAATATCTTAATTATTTCAAACCTGGTTGTTTTTCTGCTTCCTCCAATTGTTTTTTAGTCCACTCTCTAAAAGAAGGAATATCTTCATTTATAGTAACATTACGAACTGTTGTGATTACATTAACAGATAGAGTTTGGTTTTCTTTAAGTTCACCTTGGTCTATATCATTAGTTTTAATAATAATATCTTCAATTAAACTATCTTTGGTTACCAATTGGGAACTTGAATTATAAGTACTAGTTTTAAGATTTTTTTCTATTTTTAATAAATTTCTAGAAAATTATACATAACATTTAAATAAACAGTTGAAATAAGATAATAAAAAAAATATTACCTATTATCGATATCATCATTAGAATGTATTTCATTATAAATTATATCTTTATTACATGTATTGATTTCATTTAAAATATTTTTCCATCTGCGTTTATAGTTATATGTTTTTGGTGAAGTATTTTTGCCAGTCTAAAAAAAATAAATAAAAGCTATTAATTAAATTGTATAAATATAAATTATATTTTATTGGATCAAATAAGAATAAATAAGATTTTTTTTTTTTTTATTAACTAAGAACTTCCAGTATAAACTATTATAGTTCGAAAATTAAAATATTAATAGATAACATGATACAATAGTTAAATTGGTAATTAAACATAATGAGCACAATGATTTAATAATAAATATGAATATAATGTCAGATAAGAAGTAAACATAACGGAATATTAGTGTATTTAATAACAAAGTAATATTAAAAGTAAATGCCCTAATTAATTGATTATTAATATAGCGGAAAGAAAAGAATTTATTATGGATGTTAAATCAGATAGGAATTTTGAAAGAGCTAAATTTAAATTTGAGTTTTGCGGATTAATGTTCGGTTTTGAACCAGAAATAGCAGCAGCATATGACAGGATGGATTGGGAGGGACTCGGAGAATAAGTTTTTTGTGTGTGATATTTTTTTTGGGGTTGGAAAATTTGATTTTGTGGCTATTTAAAATAGTTTGGTAGAACTGGCACCCCTTGAAGCTGGCCGTATGATTTTCGGAACAGTGAACGCATTTAGCTGGACTGAAGTGATCTTTGGTGCAGCTATTTGACTCATAAGTCTCACCGCATTTGACGCAACGCGATGGATGATGGCAATAGTTTTGCGTGTGACCATAGTCTTAACAATTAAAACATTGCGGCGGACCGTATGTCTTTTTGTTCGGTTTTTCAATCACTACTTTCGTGCTTAGTAATGAAGTGATGTTGTAAGTATGTTTATTATTAATATTGGGTTCGACGTCGACAAAAAAAAATTGGGAGAGGAGTTATTTTTTTTACACTGTGGACATTCCTCACTAGGTGTCCTTCTTCCGACAAAGCGGACAAAATGTCGGCACTGAGAGTGAAATGATGGAGGTTTTCTGATAACGATCCTGAGTGGACGCTGACAGTGAGGACGAAAAGTATGGAAACTGACGTTAGTTCTATCAAATAATTTGACAATAAGTTGAAATTAACGAGACCGTTGGGACGGACGATAAGGTACGAAGGAGTGGACTTACATGTACACCCCTTGAGGCCGACGGTCTAAATTAATACATCCTTGAATGCGGAAAAGTTATTGATATTCTTAATGTAGATAGGTGGAGCCGCAGGCTCTGCCTGGTCAGAAAGGAGAGATGAAGGTACAGTGACTTCGCAGGAAGGTGGAGCCGCATCGAAACAGTGTCATCGTTAGTGTCAATTGAGGCGAGAACAGCGAAACGGTTTGGTGATGTGAAAGTTTTGGTCATTTTCCTCTCGCGAAGAGGAGAATTTGGAAAGTATTGGATAAAACTCTTTTTGATGACGAAGGCGTACAAGGTGAACTTTTACAGGAACGAATCATAATATGATATACGTTGAAAACGAAAACGCAATTTACGTAGTTAAAATACTGATAACGGAGCGAACCTAAGAGCGTCTGTTCATGATGAACGTTATAGCCGGACTGAAATTTAGAATTCTAGAACTATTAATATTGAATTGATTAATAAAGTCATACTTGATGCATAAATAAAGCAGATGAATTATCGTAGTCCAATGATTTGTATTTATTTATAGTGATGTTTTCATTTTCAGCAATTACAATTAATCTAAAAACATTTATATTATTAAAAAAAATGTTATTTGTTAAATATAAATTACACAAATTATTTATTCGTTTAAATTTTTTTAATTCATTATACACTGTGTTTAAGCAAAGAAAAATAAACAATAATCAAAATGTCGAAAATAAATCATAAATATCTATTAAACTCATTACTATAATTTATATATGCTACAATAGAATAAATAAGTTTTAAATATATATTCTTAATTATTTAACGTTTAAACAATATATTAAATACCCAAGTCTTATAATGTTTTTCATACAAACCTAAGATCCAAAAGGACTTTCTATAATATCTATGAATAGTATCAACAATTTTAAAACAAACTAAATTATACAAGGAATTTTTTGTTTCAAAAATATTATTTTATTTTCTAAATAAGCATGCAATCAAAAAAAAAAAAAAAAAATTATTCATAAAAATAAAAAATACATCGTTGAGTACATTGTTATTATAATTTTAGAACTATAATTATAAATTTAGAAAATGTATCCCAAAATAAAGTTGTATCAAATATATATATATATATGTAGTATTAATTTTATTAAATATAAAAACAGTAAAAATACACTAATTTTAAATTAATAAATCATTTTTCACAAATAATTAGTTCTTATTAAAATAATTGTTTTTTAATTCTAAAATTCCTAAATAAGTACATCTCAATAATACTTATATAAATTAATTTTTTATGTAAAATTTGTGAACAAACACATTTATTAAAGGTGATTACAATATGTCATGCTAATAATATTGCATATTATTTTTGTATGATAATTAACAAAATGTTTGCATCAACGTTTTTTAAATAATGGCAACAGGCCAATGTGAAAGAGCAATGCAAATCTCAAGTAAATTATAAAATTGTTCTAAAATATAAAAGTCATGACACATGAATCATGTGTAATTACTAGAGTTTTATCAACTTGAATACTTTTTATATTACACATTATACTACATATATACAACATAAGGTAGTAGTTTTTAATGTATTATAATACTCATTTTTTTTTTAAGGTATCATTTACAGGTATAAAGGCATTTATAAATACTTATTACAATCAAATTAGTTTCAAAATAATTATAAATTGATAAAAAAATTGTAGAGACTACCAGAAAAGGGATGAATATGTTAGTACCAATAATAATTTAATAAAATAAAAAAAATCACTAAGAAATTATTTAATTCTCATTAGCCGATAACATTTTTCTTAAGATTAGAAAAATAACACAAATTTATTAAAAAAAAATTAATAATTGAAAAACGTAATATAAAAACTAAAATCATATGAAAAAAAAAATATATAAATAATTTTAATATATATTATTGTATTCCTAAAGATACTTTTAATTTAAAAGATTAGTATAGACATGTCAAATGCACATTAATCAAATAAAATATAAAATTAATGATGTCAAAGTAAAATTGATAATGAAAACTATAATATTTTCAAAAAGAAGTATAAATGCATAATTATTAAATTGCCACAGTATAAAATAAAATGGGCAAATGTAAATTATATTTATACTTAATTAATAAATAAATACATATATATATTATTTTGGTTAAAATTTTGATAACATTTACTGCTTAAAATTTCTAGGTTGAGTAAATAATTTATTATGAATTTATCATTTAAGACTAAATCAAATTTAACAGTCTATGTTAATTTATACTAAAATATAATAAGTTAAATTTTCAAGCTCTGATTTTTTATGTACAATTTAGTATTAGGTATGAATTTTACAGTGTAGGTAAACAGGTTTAAGACCTTTGGTACTCACATCAAAACGTTGAAGGCGACGATCGCACCAAACAAACGTGCGGCTGGAATGTATCTGAGTGAACGCATAGTAGATAGTAGCATTTAGGGATTGTATTATTTAGGAGGTGGGCCGATGTGCATTGAAACAGTCTCGCTTACGAAATTATAGAGAAAAAAAAAAGGAAAAACTGAAAAACCGAATAACGACTGGAAACGGATATTGTCAATCGTTCGGGATAAAAGATCTGAGTCTAGTCTAATGATAAGGGGGAGAGGGAAAGAAAAAGGAAAAAATTGTTATGAATAACGGAAAGTCAGTCGTGTTCGAATAGTGGCTGTTATCACGTTGTCCCGGGACACGTTTTATTGATTACGGGAACACGGTATGGCGGCGAGACGTGGTCAAGCCGGTGAACCGTCTTCGAATCCCGCGCCGCGGTAACACTGCGCCGTCGGTCTCGCGCGAAAACCCCTCCGGAATCCGCCGACTGTCACCCGGAATAACGACGAAGACGATGATCAGCAGAATTGGTGGGCACACGACGACTGGTCAACGGGTTGTCGGCAGCGTGCAAACGGTACGATTTGAAGAGGTGACGTATCCCCCCCTCCCAATCACCGTATACGTCTCGACGAGTGGCCGCGTCAGCGGTTATTCCCAGGACCGGCTCAAGGGCGAGCTAGGCACCTGCCTAGAAGGGCATTTTCAAAATTGACTCATACATTTTTTGTTTAGTTCTATCGGTGATTTATAAGAAAAATAATTTTAATCAAAAGTACTACTAACTGTAGGTAAATTTACGTTTTAAACCATTTTTTGTGAACAGCCGTATGTACATGGTGTGTTACCTGTGACTTTTTGGTGCAAGGAATATTTCTGTCACAAACTTAACAAAAAATGGTTGCACCATATCTGTCGTGAAAATTGTTTGTTGGTTATTGTACGACGAAATCCATTGAGCAAATAAACTTTTTAAATCGCTTGAAGTTTTCGGCATATTTGTATGTTATGGTAATTTGAGACGAGTGGAAAGACAATATGTAAACAATAATATATCGCACTCAGATATCGACACGAGACGAGACGGACAACTAGTAGAAGACAAATAGTCGTGACAGCTAACGAAATAACCGATGTCCTATCGCAATCGATAAGGAATACCTGGAGATTAATTTTTATTAAAACTCAGAAACCCAGAAATATATCATTTATATAGTGAACATTATATTTATCAAAATGCTGACATACGTGAAATATGTTCATTATATGCCGATATTACAAAAATATTCTCAAATATTCTTTAACCCTTAGAAAAAACATGCTTTTTTATGCAAAATAAATTTTTTCTTGTGAATTCTGTTTTTATGAATCGTAAAGATTTCTCTCTCCCATTTAACTGTATAGACTAGAAACAAACATGAAATTGAAAAAAATTACTTAAAATATTCTTTATTTTTATTGAGTTGATGTCGATTGCTCATAGTTTTCTTCATTACTTCCTTTCACATTATATTTTTTTGATGAACTGATTGCATTTAATAGTTTTGATTGTGCTAATAAAAAATCATAACAATTATTACAGGAATATTTTTAAAAATTATTTTTAAGAATTATTATTGCTTTGACAGTAGGTATGAGAAAACGATTTTTTATCCGTCCATAAAATATTTGTGATTGAAAATATTCTTTCTATTACTGCATTAGTAACTAATGCAAATTAACCGTTAATTTGCAAAGGTACAGTGAAAATACATCTCCTCTTAGGCATTTAAAAAAAAAAAAAACAATAAAAGTAATAACACTAACGACTCACAACAATTTAAATAAAAATAACTGATACACAGTGGCTATAACATTAATAACACAAGATCGTTGCTATATACGCACGTTATTGCACGACTATGTTTGATTTTTCGATTAATTGCATCAATATACCTAATATCGTTGATTATAAATAATACTGTATATTGGTAAACTATTCGTATGTAATATCGATTTCAATAGAATTCTTGCACATGAATTCGTAGTACATGTATATCAGGAGCGTATTTATGCGAGGGGCCGAGAGGCCCCGGGCCTCCTCCGAAATAAAAAACACCATTGTTAAAGATTGTTATTTTTGACATGGATATGTCTTAATGCTGGGGGTTTCCGAAAATTTGTCGCGACACTGAGAATGTTGCTTATGCGAACGTTTAAAATTTTATATTTATAAAATATGTTTATTCTTTTAAGAAAATATGTGGTGAATTTTGAGTGACTCTAATAAACATCTATCTGATAGTGTAAAAACAATCGAGAAATCTTTTAGTGTTAAAGTAATTTTTTTCGTAATAGTGTGCTTCCTCCATCCCTTCCACCCAAAAATCAAATACATAATCGGTCCCCTCCGAAATGAAAACCTATATACGCCACTGATATATATACTACATGACATGTCTTATTTTTTTTTTTTACTCTTGGTTTACAATTTTTATGGAAATAACGGAATTAAAACGGAACAAAAAGCATCCCGTTCAAAGTTTGTCGAGACAACAGGACATAATCATAAAAAAAAGAGACAATCTTGTTTTAAACGTGACGTATGATTACCCTAATCTATAACCGTGCCGCGTTAGCCTAACCTAACCTAACCTACCAAATGTACTAGGATACCATGCACAATGTAGGCGTTTCAGTCGACGGTGAACAATATGCAGCTTGTAATATGCACACGCTCCACATTGTAATTGACTAACATAGTAATATATTTTTTCGATCTAGGACATTTCGGCGCGGGCTTTTCGACACGAGGTACGTTTCGGCGCCAGGTGTTATTATGGACATTCTGTCGGATGAATTATCAGAAGAAATCTTACCCTTGTTAGACTGGTTTGAAGAAAATTATATAGGTAGAGTTCATAGAAATCGACGTTGAAATGCACGTTTTCCTCCAAATCTGTGGAATGTCCACGAACGAGTTTTAAATAAAAATGATAGAACTAATAATTATGCCGAAGCCGCTAATAGACGACTCAATGTTCAAATGGGGGTTACTAATCCAACACTATGGGCTTTTATATCTTGCTTAAGAAAAATACAGAGTGGTCGGGATACTTATTATTGCCAATTAGAAGCTGGTAAAAGCACACCGAAAAAACAAAAAAAAAAATTTTTGGTTGTTGATAAGCGAATCTTTAAAATAGTTAGCAATTATAATAATAGGGACATATTAACATTTTTAAGAGGTATCGCTCATAATTTAAGCATGACACATTAATATACTACATATTTATTTTATTATTAGAGTGACATATTAATATTGTATTATTAATTTTATATTTATTATTTATTAAGCACGACATTGTCATAATGACATTTAACATAACAGACCTATTTTATTATTTATTTTATATTTTTAATTTATTAAATAGGACATATTGATTAAATATATATGATATATTTATTAAAATTGTAAATTTTTTGACAATATCTATAAAAGTGAATTATAATATTAATTTTATAGAAGTAAATTTATGTATTATGTAAATTAGTGTAATCCAGCGCCGAATTGGCCGCGCCGATATGATATGTCCGTGTCCGATATTTTTTAATTCATAGTGTTAATAGCTTTCACTAAGGGTGGGATTTTGGTTCAAATACATTTTGTGTTCTAATATCACAACTAGTGCCGGATTTACCATTAGGCTAACTAGGCTGTAAATTTTTTCTTTTTTTTTCTGTCTGTATAAACAGGCAAAAATTATTTTACCCTTTTATTAGCGCTTTCCTGGTTACGTCGACCATTGGGTCATATAGATCCGACGTCTCTAATCAAATGTGCTATTTTCAGTATGTTAAGCGTAGTTTACACGATGCTAGTTTACTAGCAACTAGTAAGCTAGTTCACTATCTGATAGAAAAAAGTATTGTCTAGTTGAGTGTGCTAGTAAATTAGCAAACTATTTTGATAATAAACTAGTTTGCGAATTATGTTGAAACATTTCAACTTTACTAGCAAACTAGCGCGCTATTTTATCCGATGCGAATAAAAATAGAATCATGTAATTGGGCACTAGTTGTTTATTTCGAGCTAGTAGCTTGTATTTCCCCGGCAGTGAGTTTGTGAAAACCATTGATTATAAATTTTTATAATCAATGGTGAAAACACTACGATACCGAATATTCATTATGAGTCATTTTAAAGCGAAGTGGAACAATAATGATATTTTCCAATTTCTCGATGTATACGAACAATTTCCAATATTATGGAACATTAAACATAAAGATTATTTAAATAGAAACTTGAAAAACTTAAAAATAATTTAAGTAGTATCGGACTTGTTAGGGACAGCGATCAATTGCGTCTTAAAATTAAATCGGTTCATGACGTATACAGACAGGAAATCGCAAAAATCAATAATCATTAGTGGTAGGTACCTACATATAGAAATAAAAATACAATACATTAAACATTGTGTTTATATAATTATGTATTTCAAGTAAATTATACAGAATGTATAATAAGAACTTGGTTAAATTTTTATTTATATTTATAATAATATTAATAAATATTTAATATTTTTATTAATTTTCTTTTTGGAGTAGTAAAAGTGCTTCAATGTTAAAAACCAAAGGTGGTTTCTGGTAGAAAAGTGAATCTATATTGTACTTTGGGGGTCAAAAGTAAAAAATTGTCAATATTTTTCAGATTATATAACAATTTTTTTTTGTTAGTTTTTTTTATAATAATTTATTTATTATTTCATAATTTACCAATACAGGCACTGAATGATTCTTATGATGGAAATTACGAAGAGTCTCAAAAACCGACTGATTCAACTGAAATAAATGAATTACAAGAGACTACTTTTAATTCTTCGAGTAGTACGAATTTTTGTAGAGAACTCTCTTCTGAACAAGATAAATCGCCGGAGAAAATGAAACCGCCAAAATTTACACCACGTAAGAAGAAACGTTCTGAACCTCTTCTTGAAAATGCATTAGTTAGTTTGGATGAAATGGCTTGGAAAATAAAAAATGAAGACGCTTGTGATAAATTTGGAAAATATGTCTCTTCACAGTTACGGGAACTACCATTACGTCAAATAATTCTTTTAGAACAGGAGATATAAACTGCTATTACTAATTCAGTCCTTAGCAATATTTCATCAGATGATAATCGACCACAGTTTCTTCAACATCCATTTACTTCACCAAATACAATTGCAACTTCAAATACATCGAACATTTCTGAAGAAAGTCAAGCGTCTTTAACACGTTCCGATTATAGTTCAACTGATGAAACAATCGATGTTATTAAAAAAGCGATGGAAAATACATTCGACGATTATGTATTCGATTAAATCAAATATAGGTACAATATTTCATATTCACTATATTCAATTCCTAATAATTTTTTATAATTTTACAATTTATATTATATTTTTTCAATGTACTTAATAATAATAAACACAATAATAATATCTGATTTAATCTAATCTAATAATTACCTAACATTGCTTTGATACTATTGATTTACAATTTTATTATGTTTTACTAACCTTTAAATATGATTTAAGAGCTTCTGTTATCGCATTAAGAAATTTGGGCAAAAATTTTGAAATTGTACATTTTGGTACTCTGAACAAATACTATAGACTTGAATGAATCTCCCGTTGCTAAAAAACATAAT